TTAGACGTGATACTGCAAGAATAACTAATACAACAGAAGCAGTAAATAAATGTTTATGTTGTTGAATATTTTTCTTTAATATTGTTTTGTAATTTAGATTACTTCGAAGATTTGATTTTTGACGAGATTTTCTTATTACAAGCATAAAAGCTGCTGTTAGATTAATTATAGATGGACCGGAAAAGTGAAATATATGGATAGCAGAATCTAATTTTCGTAAATTAGATGAATAAGTAACAATACACCATGTTCGTTTATTATCTTCATTTTCTTCATCAATTAAACGTCGATGTAGAAGATCATAAATAGAGTGTGGGTGTGGTTGGTGCTTATTCAATAGAGAGTAACAGCCACACGCACCCACACCCAAATATCTTGTGTGCTAGACGATCGTCCCTACAATTAATATCTCTTGCTTACTCTCTCAACAACGGAAAAAGCCGTTATGGAAAATGAAAAGTTTTTATACAATGATTGCCAACGGCAAACAACATCGATAGAAAGAAGAAAGCACGTTCTTTTTCCTCGTATGAGAGCACACAAGCTTCTTTAATGGTTTCTTTTGCATAATCGAAGAAAAAAGCAAGATGAAATTGGAATCGTTGTCGAATGAGCTGCTATTCAATCTTTTCGAATTTCTTGATGGCACTGATATTCTGGGCGCTTTTCACGACCTCAATTCTCGTCTCGAGACACTTCTCGTCGTTCATTTTCAAACTTATCATCTTAATCTTCAATCGATCTCCAAACGTGACTTTGATCTGATTTATCAACAGTACTTATTTTTGATTTGTAATCGAATTCTTTCATTGTGTTTCGTCGATGATAGAGTAATTCCAAATCTACCACATCTACTTTTACCAAATGGACTCACTCTTCATCAATTCATTCGTCTACATTCACTTTCAATCGTTTCGGTTAATTCTCAAGATATGCTCGAGAACATGTTACAAGAATGTTTCACGTCTTCGCATCTGATCTATCTGAAAATGAGTGAATGCAATCTTCCAGTTTTCGGTGATTTTTCGTGGCTAACCAAAAATGTCTGGCAACTTCCCAAACTTATACATTTTAGTCTGCACATGCATTCGGACTATCCAATTTATCGCCTGAAACATAATGTCAACTCATCAACACTTGAATATGTAGTATTCAATAATGTTTCAATGCCAGCTAGCGAACTATCACATATTTTGACACATACACGTCGACTTCGATACTTGTGCACTGGAATCAGCTGGAATTACGATGAACAAATGCATCGAGCACGAATGAATATTTCCTATCAATAACGACATTGAAGATCACTAGTGCTACTTCGTTACACGGGATCATAAACATTTGGAGAAACATGTCTAATTTACGTCATCTAACCATGGACCTCGCCAAAATTTTAGAGAATCATTCATGGTATGGATATGACTGGGAAAAGTTTATTGTTGCTGATCTACCCGAATTGAAAACGCTTCAATTTCGAATGATGTTTTCTTTTCGTTGGTGTCGCAATGAAGAGAAAGTCGATGAACTATTGAACACATTTCGAACACCTTTCTGGCTCGACGAACGTCGTTCGTTTGTTCGATGTGAATATAATACATCTAGCATGGATATGGGTCTGATGAATCTGAATGGTTCTCTATACACTCTACCTTATTCTTTTGAGGCATATCGTAATTTCCATAAGCAGATATTGTTCAAATCGACTTGTCCTCACGATGAAGATCACTGGTTGTATACGAATGTTCGCGAAATTGATTACCTGCACAAAGATTTCGATTGGTCATCATGTCCTATTCGTTTTCCTAATATTAAACGTCTCACAATTCCACTTCCTACAAATGAAGATATATGGCATGTCTTTCTAAAGTTAGATCATTTGACTTTCTTGAACATACAACAATTTGACGATACTGCACTAGATCAATTACAAGTCATCATCGGCCGAGCACCATGCCTCTATACTTTTTTTATCGAAAAATCACCAGCTTCTCTAGCAGTATTGTCGAAAATCACAAGCCCATCGATCTGTCGCATTGAATGGAGAAATTTTACTATGATGTCGAATGAAATATTCGATCACAACGATTGTACTACGTTCGTCACTTCATCACTTGGTCGTCAATATGAAATTCTTAGCATTGCAGTTGAAAAGGCAGCAAATATATTTTACCTTATCAATACAATGTCTTGTCTTCGCTCATTAACTTGTCAATGTCGAGAAGATAATGGATATCAACTCGTATCTATGATTCAATCATTATTTCAATTACTAGAAGTAGATTGCTTCATTGAACGACTGAAAAAGGATTTTCCATCGACATGTTCTATTCGAGAAGTTTCAACAGATTGTACTCATATCGAAATATGGATTAGTTAGCAAGGGTATAGGTATGGGTGAAGCAAATGACTACACCCACACCCACGCCCACACCCTATGTGATAGGACCGGTAGCATAATAGGCGAAAGAGAACAATACAGATTATTCAATGGCAGTATATTTACGCGTCATTACTGTTTTTTGTCGTTGTATAACAACTTTTGAATCTACTCTACATTACAAAGTAGCATACGAAAAAGAACACTTTGTGCAACAAACTCTTCTATAGGACAAAATATAAATTTAGTGTGAAAGAAACAAAGGCATTTGAGTTTATGTATTTATGAGCAATATTGCTGTCTCTGCTGTAAACGTAATTTAATTTCGTGTTCCTGACAATAGAGCACGAATATGAGGCGCATAATATGTATGCACGATACTCATGCCACTAAAAGATAATATAAATGTTAACCACGTTAAATGATTGGCCCACCATCCAACATAACCAAATATATAATACACAATAGTTGTGCTACATGCAGGTATACCAAATAAGACTATGAATATAATTAACCATAAGATACGTCTTATGACAGTGAAATCGCGATCGATTCTTTTTTTTTGCAGAAGGGTAAATGTTGATACATGACGACGTATATAACGCATTGTATATGCATAGATAACAATTGTAAGTAAAACAGGTGGAAGCCAAACAAGAGAAGCTCCACGTGCTATACCACGCCAATTTGTTAAATAAACTTGACAATGATAATCTTCATAATCATAATCACCTAGGAGTAGTATTGGTAATTGTAGAGATGCACTCAGAAACACTTGGATGAATATACCAAAAATATATAAATGAAGATTACGAAAGAGAAATGGATGCTTGTAATAAACGATTTTAAACAAACGATGAAGAGCTTGCAATGTATTTGAATACAGTGCAGAAATAAGGGCAATTGTTGATAGATAGATTTTTAAACGACACCACAATGTGTTATTATGTAATTCTGGTGCATATGGCTTGATATGACCTTTGATCATTGAAATAAACATATCAAGAGTGAAGAGAGCAAATATAAATACATTCAGATACATATCTAAACTAAGAAGAAATAGAATTCTTTCTTTTGATTTTATTAATTGATGACGAATGAAGATTAGCAAGATAAATATCGATATTTGACAAATGCTGATGATACACAGGCCAATGCCAATTGAATCCAAAATAATATTATACAAGAGTGAGTTGGTAGAAAGAAACATATTGACAGTCAAATTATCGCTTGACATGTTAAAGATTTGATAATGAATGAACTTCTTCGCCAGAAATGATATACTTATGATTGTTAATAATTATAGCCAATTTTGATACCTATTTTTCAAAAAGAAATATAATCACATTAACAACATTCATTTCATACACATTATCTTCGATAATAATTTTTCTTCACTAATTGAAGACCTAATCCTCTTTTTTACTAATGTGACTTGGATAGTTATATATATATATATATAATTATGACAGAAAGAAAGAGAAGAAAATGATACACTTCATGTTAAAAAGAAAAAACTTCAAATTAATATGTTAAAGAAATTATAGAGAAAGACCATTGATATTCAAGAAAAGAATTTTCATGTCTTTTAAATCATTATATAAAAAAGAGAAGCAGAAATGAGATTTTGTTATGTTGGATGAACACTATAAAGATTTTATACTTATAATTGCTGACCAAAAGAATCGTTCTATCTCAACGATTAGATAATCATATGATGTAACACATTAAGTTAGTAGAAAAATTATCGACAAGATTGATTACAATAGTAATTGGTATGATAGTGATGCAGGTCTTTTTTTGCTTGTCATTCACTTTTCAGATAGAGTAGGAAGATGAAACATGAGTTTGAGTTATCAAGTTTCATGTATATGCAATACTTCAAATGTCAGTTTCACTATTTAAAGAAAAAAAACATTACACTGTCTTGATGCCTATAGCTACATATATTTAGAATGAACTTAAATATCACTCTTAAGTATCAAACTAATTATGAATGTTTGATCGATCAACTGAATGACTTATTTATGACACATAGCGATGAACACATGAAACTTCAGTTGTTATTTTCTGTTTAGTATGAATGCGATATCGCCACGTATGTCCTGAAAATCAGTAACATGACGGCGATAAGTCAAGGTTTTCTTGCTGATTTTAGTCATCTATTGTATCAATAATTTATATGATTCTATACATTTATACTTGATTTCATGGTTTTTAATCAGAACCTCTTATAATTAGCTTGAATTAATGAATATTGTACTATAAAAAATTGAATATCCACATTATTTTTAATACAGAAAAAATGTGACAAGCAATCTTTCATAATTCGATGAGAGTGGACGGGTGTCGGTGAAGGTGAGGGTGTGGATGTGGGTGTCGGTATGGTTCCTGTGGATGGATGTGAGATATGGATATGAGCATGGGCAAAGAGAATACGCATATCAGAATTCACCCACATTCACACCTCGCACTCTCCATCTACAAAGAGAAACTATCTCTTTCGTTATCTTTAAATGACACTAAAAAGATTTCTTCTGATAATAGACAAAAAATGTTGATTGAATTTGATGTATTAAAAATTGAATACCTATTCCATGGATCATGCTAATCATCTCCTCGTTTAATTTCTTTTAAAAGATGATACATCTTTTGTTTTAGATGATATTGATTGACTAATTTCAATATTAATGAAAAGCTTTTATTTAAAACAAAAAAACTAAACAAACTTGTCTTTTGTTGATGATTTTTCTTTCCAATTACGATTATTATATTGTGTATCAGAAAAAAAATCATGTAAATGACGTCGTGATCGACTATCAATATGATCATTTGTTGGTAAATTATTCGTATGTCGAGAATTATTATTTGTTTGATGATAATGATTATTATTATAATGAGAATGAATGGATGAATTTGACTACATATAAGAATGATATCGATCTGTATAATTGAGTTTATCAACATGATTTGATCCAGATAAAGCACTTGTATCATAATCAATTGATGATCGTCTGAAAAAATAATTACTTTTTTTTACCGATCAATATTTATAAGATTATCATCAACTTCTTTTTCATCAAGCGCACCACGAATTGTTAAATTAAATTTTTTATCAATAAGATCTTTATCTTGTTGTTTACGTTTCATGGATCGTTCACGAAGCTAAAAATAACAAAAAAATTTAAATAAATAGAAAAAGAAAATAAATAATAGCACAAACTGTTTTCGCTGAACCTAATTCATGTTCCCATGCTGGTTCAGTACCCGATGGTGATGATAAAGGAATACCAGACGTTAGGACTTGACCATGAAGAATTGGATTAGGAAAAAATTGAGATGTCTAAAAAATAGCAAGTTTTTCTTTTGCGAATAGATGTCGGTATAATTATCTTGAATTCAAAAGAAGAAAATAATGTATGCTAACATCTGTCTATTTTTAAAGAATTGTATTGTGATTACCTTTCAAATTATGGACTACTAACTCACGAATTATCAGCTCATGTAAATATAGATTTTTGATGAAACGAAAAAAAGTCTTAAACTGTGACTATTTATGATCATTCGAATTTTCAGAATATCTAATTTTTGTCTAGCAAATATCACACAAAAGCTTTCTTGAGGGTGTGTGTGTGAATTAAAAGAATATCTCACTCACAATCATACCCACACACTACACACACCTACACCGACAACTAATGACATAGAGTAAACAATCACATGTCTTGTAAACTATATTAAATTTCGTTTATGTGATTTATTATATCAATGCTTTCTACGTATTAAATATCTGTCGCATGAAGTTCTTAATTATCTCGTTAGTAGTGATATATATGAGTAAATTCATATTATGATAAAATATTTCTGTAGATATGTTATTGTTTCCAATAAAAATTAATTTATTTCACTTCGTCTATGATATATAACATTCTACTAAAGTTTTGAAGATCTTCCTAGTGAATAAATCCAGTGCAACCTATCCAATTAAGTACCATAGCAGCGAAGTCAGAATATTGAAGGATGGAAGTGAGCCCAATCCAGAGGTTACTCAATCACTCTAGGTTAAAAACAATCTATTCTTGGAATTCGAAGGACATAGTCATTTTTAGTTTTGATAGAGACTCCATTTGTTAAAATACTTTTTTTAGTCCTTCATTTCAGAACACGTCAAGGTATTGATTAGACTAACTTATTGAAAAGTTTTTCATACAATACTATAGATCGTAGTAAATAAGTACCTTGAACCCCGTACATGTACCAGTGATAGAAATAAAATTTTCATATAGTTTAGAATAGTCTTTTGTTGATAACGACAGCAAATGTAAATTTCAAATGTTTTCCATTCTGTTGTGTTTCTTGTCAATAAGGCTTATGCTTCAATGAAATGAATAACAAAAAACCAATCATTTTATGTATTTTTTTTGAAGTATTGAATTAAACAGATTTTTCGATCGTATTTAACTTTTAAATAAACATGAACAAGTTAAATGAAAATCAACTTTCAGTCGATCATCTAATGCAGATACAAAGAGAGTAATTCATTTTCGTCTATATATCATTTGTTTACGATTATCTGGAATTTATAAATAGAATTAATTTAACAATAAAACAAAGTAAAGTTCTCATTATATTATAGTTCTTTCATTACGCAATATAACTGAAGAACTCCTATCGAAAATCTGTCAAGTGAAACTTTCGAGTATCTTGCAGATTGTGATAATATATATGTACATAAAGTATTTTCTTAACTCAATATGTATTTTGAAAATCTTCTTAATTATTCATTATTTTCATTCATAATATTATTTTGTGAAAATTCATCATCAAAACAGAAAAATTTATGTAAAAATTTCATTATGCAGCATGAAAAACGTATTATGGATGTAGGATAAAATGAATCGTAAACCTAATGACACATGAACCCAAACTACACACTTTTCGAACAGATTTAGTGAGCATATAGTTGCACCTCTCTTATTACGAACGATTTCAATTGAAATAATGCTTTTATTGGATATCTCACTAATTCAACTTCATTAACATATTGTTATAAGAAATCATTTTATCAATTTTCATAGACTACTGTTATAATTTATACACTTTGTTTCTCATTATTGTGTTACATTAAATAATAAAGAGAGCAGTGCAAACAGGAATGTAAATGTCTTTCATTTGTCGAACCACACAAACATCCATACCCTCAGATCTGTTCGTTTTCTTGGAAAATTTCAGATTTATCAAACTTAATCATAGATTAAAAATTCGGATTGAAACTATTCCTTTGGAATTCTTCGAAAACATGTTATTCTCAAGAATAACTTCGCTACAATAATTTTTTCAAGTTTAACTTAATGTTATTGAGATCTATCCATGATCATAGCATGAGAATGAATAGTCTCCAACAATTTCATATGTTTTCTTATTAGATTTTTATTATTATCAATTCATTAACTTGAAATAGAAAGGTCTAATCAAACACGAATAACAAAGAATAACTTTAAATATTTATTTCAAACTATCGAATTCTTTATTTTGATTAACAAGAAAAAGAAAACAAGAAACAAACATCAATGAAACAATTTTAAGATTTTCTGTTATTTTGATCATATTGATAGAATTAATGAAGCTAAAAAGCAATATTAGTTTTTGTTCAATTTCTTTTTGAAATCATTAACTAATTTTTGTGCCAATGAATTCGATATTTTATGAGTCGCTCTTAAATGATGTTTTAATTTATAAAGTACAACTAAACGATGTTGACATGGTAAAATATTTACTTTTCGTCGACTATTATTTAATGTATTAACATTTCCATAAACAAAAGGACATTGAACTTTATAAAAATGATCAAGTACATCTTCATTTTCATTAAATAATTTTGTTATATGAGGATCTTGATTATTAGCAATAGCTTGTACTAAACGTTGAGCATAAAGTTTTTTTAATTGATGTTTACGAGTAAAATGGAAATATAATTCGATTCGACGAGTTGTTTCATGCTCACAAAATTTAATAGAATGATTTGCTTTAGTAAGACCATATGCTCCATCAAATGTTAATGGACATGTATTAAAAATATATCTATATGATTTTAATTTATGTTTCCCTTCTTTTTCATTTACATATTGATTCTAAAAAAACAATGAATGTTTAAATATTATGTGTAATTTTCATTGAAAAACAGAAAAGTATAACAAGATAAGAAACAATGATATTCATGTAAACTGATTTTCATATAATATTTGATTAAAAATGAAATGTTATGTATTGAATATAAGACATGACTATAAGATGAAGTTTATTAATGAAAATATTTTAAACTCGAAAAATTCTCTAATTTATATGTCACAAAACTAATTTCAATAATAAAATCGTATTCTGATCGATTATCTTGAAGAGCAAATCAGATCTATTCGATTGTCAAACAATTTAGACAAATTCGAATAGATATAATATATATATACGATTATAAGCTACAAGCAGAATTAAATACAACTAACCTAACTTACAGAGAATATCAGTTTTTTTTTGTGCAGTAATACAGAAGAAAATCTGTTGAATCACAATAGAATTCACTTCTTCGAACCAAATCTTTTCGAGACTTAATTTCGTATTTATATAATGATACTACTATTTAGAATATGTTTATTATTGTTTCTTTTTAACAACGTCTATTAAAAACACATAGTTTATACTGTTATATTAAATGAATAATTAGATATGATATGGCAGTATTTCATATAGTTTCAATTGAAAAAGTGATTTCATTGACTCTTTCGTTCATAGATATAATTAATTTTACCTGAATAGATTCGATTCTTTCACTGAAAGAAAGAAAAATATGCAATCGATTTCAAAACTTGTTTTTTTGATAAAAATAGAAACTTACTTCAATGAAACAGTACCATCAAAATGGTGATCGATATCCGTTGAATATTCATCATCTTAACACAATTATGTTTGCTTTTCTTTTTTGAAATTAAAGAAAATTTAATTTACCTTTTGAGATCTTCAATTCTTCTGCTTCATCTAAACATACAAAAAAAAAATCTTATTTTTTGAAGTCTTCATTTATTCTGTGAGAGAACTACATGAACTGATCTCCACCATTTGAACACATATTAGGTCAATAATAAAAGCTTGTCAAGAATAGAAAAAATTCGAAGAGGATCGTGTCCATAAACCAATTGACTGAATTTTCAAGTCATCTTTCAATATTTATTCAATAGTAAATAAGTCAATTTTATTTCGAAGGTCATCAAACACATGTCTATAGACGTTTCCAGATCGAAAACTCTGTGAAACAGTCAAAACTTGCCTCATTAACTGCAGATACTTTTACTAACAAAATCTTTCTAGTGTCAATATGAGTTCAAATGCTGATTAATAAGTTCTGTCAGCTCTCTGATTTGACATCAGTACCTATAGTTCGATCAAAATAAATAGAATGAAATGAAAAAAGAAATATTTTAAAAAGAGATTTCATCTTACCATTTGAATTCATGTTTTCCTTATTATAATCAGAAACACGAGAACAATATTTAGTTTGTGATAATGATGGTTCGACTTTCAGCATGATTCCTTCTTTTATAAACAAAGAAAAGAAAGATATACAAAAAACAAACGATTATTTAATTTAGTTTTTTACCTAAACGATTTAATGCTATTGTTTGATTAATTTTTTCGAAAATATTTTGTAATTCATCAATTGAACTACTGGATATATCGAGAAATTTTTTTGCTTGTTTAATCAAATTTTGTTCATGTTCAATAGTTAATAATTTTTCTTCAACAATTAGTTTTAGTGTATTAACAACTGTATTTAATTCATTACGAAGATTATCTAATCGTCGATTATTATTTTGTTTTGTTATTTCAGCATGTATATTCAAATGATAGAGACAAATAAGACGTAAACAACAGTGACATTTATATAATTCTTTTATTTCATTATCACATGTTATATGAGTACATTGACCTATTTCAGGCATTTCTAAAAAATAAAGATTGTTTATACCTGTAATATTCGCTGAAATATGATCCTTATCACTATGGACAAATTGTTTAAAATAAATGACGAACTAACGAACATACACACACAGGAAAGAAAAAGAGAGAGAAAAAAAGAAAAAAAGAAAAAAAGAGAATCCAATGCATAATGTTATCGTCTTTTGTTCTATCAAATAAAATCGTTCGACTACTAGTCTGTAGATATGGATGACTCATCGTATGATTTCTCTAATGAAAATCATTGATGAAAGAGCCTCTTCAAGAATTTAAAAATACAGAATTTTAGTCTTCTCCAAGGTACTTCTCCATAGATACGAAAGTAGGATTGAAAATATACTCAAAGAGTTATAATACAATTATTCAACTATTTATGATTTTTCTTTCTAAAAAAAATTTAATTACATTAAACTAAATAATACTTTAAAAAAAGGAAACAAATTTCGTTTCACTATACTGAATACTTATCAAACTTGTGTGATTTATTATTTCTTCTATTGATGGAAGAAACTTGACAAAAGCATAGAGAGGAGAGAAGAGCGGTGGGAAAAATGAGCTAAGAATGACTGACGAATAATACGCGAGCAATGATGTTTTTATGGGTATGATGGAAAAAGGAAGAAAGGAAAAATATCGAAAGTGAAAATATAGAAGAAAACGAGGAAAAATATCGAAAGAGAAAGATATCGAATAAGAAAACAGCGAAAAGAAAAATGTCGAAAGAAAAGAATAAATAGTCGTAAGACGTCACTATGAGACATTCGTAGAAAATTTATTATTTATTTGGTTGGCTGATGCATTTAAAAGTGTTTATTCTTTCAATAATGCGCATGAATATAAACGAATATAATAGATAAATATGAAGCATAAGTGTTTAATTAGTTTCTCTTTGGTACTTCATTAACAATGTTTGTACTAATGGAGTTTGAATTGATGATTGTGAATAGTTAAAGAGACACGAATTGGTTTTCAGTTATTTTAGATATTATGACTACTCCTAATGAAATATCATTTATCGTTTCTCAAAAAGGAAAAAAAATGTTGAATATAAACAATTTCATCTTTAAATTGAATAAGACAACAGGTACAACAAAATATTATCGATGTGAAGACTCACGTTGTACTGTTACTGCACGTACTGATCTTCAAGATACTCTTTTGAACATTAAAGGTGATCATTGTCATCCACCTGAACCAGAAGAAATTAGCGGCGGCGCCAGGAATTTAGACTAGGGTGGGCTCAGGCCTACTAAATTTTAAACAGGATGGGCTCAGCATTATTGAATCTTTACACACCAAAAATGGTAGTCTAAGCTGTTTTCAACTCTTAGGTTCATCAAAGAATTTTCTTTTCTATGTTAAATAAACAATATACATGTATATATATAGAGAGAGAGAGCTTGATTATTTATTTTCAAAAGTTTTAGATAATCCTAACATAATAAAATTATGCTGTTCTTATGATTTCGTGCGAATTTATCTACTATTTGTTCATAATCTATAAAAATGTCACGCTCAATAGCCAAGACTGTTAAGTCACTTAAGCGAGCATCAGACATAGAATTACGAAGATAGTTCTTTATTATTTTCATCTTTGAGAATGAGCGTTCGCATATCACTTGTGAAACCGGCATTGTCATAGCATTTTTGACCATTAGTATTGTTTGTGGAAATGCAGTAGAATATGGAATTAATTCTTTTAAGAATTGATGTTGCCCATTACAAAACATAACTAATAGAAAATAAGAAAAGATCTTAATGGTGAACTAGCCGTAGTATGTTGCGACATCGCTCAGATAAAATATTGTTTTTTCTAAGATCTGAAAAAAATTTCAGGGTGGGCTCAAACAATTCCAGGGTGGGCTCAGCCCACCCCAGCCCACCCTTGGCGCCGCCACTAGCGATGAGCGAGGCTAGAACAGAAGAATATATGTATAGAAAGCAAGTTACTTACGCTTGAGCTATATCTGCTCGTTAAACTATCATTCATATATAGACGTCTTTTTGAAATTCGATTTTAAGTAGATAATAAGTGTCGAAATGTGAGAGAATTATTTTTTAAATTACAATGAAATTATTTTCAAATGCTACAAATTAATCAATATTCAATCAAATATACAAAATTGTATTAGAGAGGTTTATACATTATTTTTATGCGCTATCAATCTCTATCTTTCTTGTCCTTGTTCTTATTTTATGGGATGTAAAATTTTCAACTGTTGTAACAATCTCATTTTACTGATATATAACAGGGATTTATCCTTTCAAACGTCCATTTCAAGTGAAACAAAATAAAGAAAATCCAGAAAAAATCTGTGTACCTTTCCACAAAATTCTTACAATAAGCTTATATGCTGCTGTAAATCGTTCTCATTATTAGATGCAAAAAACTCAAAGAGCTTCAGGGATTTCTAGGATATCTAACAGTTGTTCAAAAGAGTTTCCAGGAGATTGCCGGATTTCCATGCTGGTAACTCACACAATCAAGCAACTTTATTACTTAAGATATTGAGTTTTGGAAGTTTCACGATGCAAGTAAAAACGAAAATTACCAAAAATTTTCAACGTAACAATGTTCCCAATGCAACTCTCATATCCCTCATTCTGGAAGACCTTCCAATAAGACGAGCTTTTCATACGGCAGTAGCACCAAACTTCACACTTAAATTCAACTAAGTTTTCAAGTTACACGTCTCAAGTTGCAACTTACAAATTTCAACTTTCAACCATTTCCGGACCCGTTCTTTCGCGGCCAGCCATTTCGCGGCACCCACACCAGGTGTGATGCGATGTGTGTCCTTTTGTGGCCACACCTGTCGCGGCCAGCTATTTCGCGGCACCCACACCAGGTGTGATGTGATGTGTGTCCTATTGTGGCCACTCCTTTCGCGGCACCCACACCAGATGTGATGTGATGTGTGTCCTATTGTGGCCACTCCTTTCGCGCGATCCACACCTGCTGCGATGTGATGTGTGTCCTAGTGTAGCCACTCCTCTCCTGGCACCCACACCTGGTGCGATGTGATGTGTGTCGGATTGTGGTCACTCCTTTCGCGGCACCGACACCTGGTGCGATATGATGTGTGTCCTATTGTGGCAAATCCTTTCGCGGCACTCACACCTGCTGCGATGTAATGTGTGTCATATTGTGGCCACTCCTTTCGCAGCACTCACACCTGCTGCGATGTGATGTGTGTCCTATTTTGGCCAATCGTGTCGCGGCACCCACATCCGGTGCGATGTGATGTGTGTCGTATTGTGGCCACTCCTTTCGCAGCACCCACAGCTGCTGCGATGT